CTATGAATGCTTCTTTGATGCACCTCAGCATTGGGATGGAGCGAGATCACTAACAGTTACACAAACAATCTTGAGGTATGGGCCAGCCAAAAATTTAAACACTCCCGCAAAAATTTTAAACATACTTAATGTTTGTGGAAACATACTCTTTAACATTCTCAAGTATGTCACATCTTTTATCCTTTAAAATTCAGCCTTGAAGTTTTTTTGGGTTTGTTTTGTTTTCTTTCTGATCAAAAAACACATTCTCTTGTTAAAAACTCTCACCTACAACCTCGGGTTAAGGGATCTTGGCCCTCTTGGTACAATGTCATCATGAAATAAAGAATAAAATTAAATTGATTGCTAATGACTTCATCAGTCCTTAAAGAAGATGAGCTTTACCAAGAATTCTAAAATTCAAGTGCCAACTGTGGGTAATGTACAGAAGACACAACTCCATCTCCAGTGCTTTTCTGCAGTGTGGAGCTTGCACCACAGTCACCACGACTGCTTCTCAGCCAGTTGTCCCTGGCCCCACCTCCAGGTTGTAGTTCTTTAGGCCCTGCTTGGATCTTGACATCTACCTGTCATTTGCCATGTACTGGTCATTTGACTCTGAGGGTTGACTGTTCCCCAGCGCACTTTGTAAAAACTGTTTCCTTCCGTCTGTGCATCCCACAATGGCCAGGCCTTCAGTGAGAAAGGTGGGTCCGAGCGAGAGTTGTGCAAATTTAAGTCATAGCCTAACTCTATTGCAAAGATACAGTGTTCATTCTCTAATAGCATTCTGGGGATTCTGAACAAAGACATTAACTTGAATTGAAAAAAACAAAGTCCACTCTGGAAGAAATGATTCTTTCCCTCTAAAGTGCCTTCCTCTAATTGGTGAGAGCATAAAGCTGAATAAAAAGTCACAAGATTGGTCCAACAACCTGAAGCTGCTGAGAGCAGCACACTCTGAATTTCATCCAGCCAGCCCCCAGCCCCCCCCAGACAGTCCCCAGCCCCCTCAGACAGCCTCCATTTCCATTAGTGAATATTAATAACCATGGTGGTAGAACACAGAAAAAAGCCCATCACATCTCCATTCAGGACTTCACAGCTAAGGAATTTATTGTCTTATCATTGGGTCAAAAAGAATTTTACTTCCCTGTTGCCCTTCAACCAGTCCTTTTCTCTCCTTAGACTTCCTCTTCATAAAACAAAATGGAGACGAGCTAAGTGAACTACAAATCTCACATCCTATCAATTCCCTAGGCTTCATAAAAATGGCAGCCAAGGTTAAGATAGCTGATATCATTCCTACTAGAGTGGATAAAGATGACAGGTTCCTTCCTCTCTGATAATTAAAGGTCTGGCGATGGGGAGAATAAGAAGAATTAGGAAAATGGGTGTTAAAGGATGCTCACAGGGATTTTTGCCCACACAATTCCCCTTTTCTCTGTGGCACGTTGAATCCTTTGATAGAAGAAAACCTTTTTCCTGGGATAGTTACCATGTCCGACACCATAAGCAGAGGCTCTGGTGGACTCCTCAGGCCCTGGAAGAGTTGGGTCACCCACCGCTTACCTGGGGCATTTCTGTCCAGACCTTCTCTTTCCATGGGGTTGCTAAACCAACAGAAGGAACCTGTTGGTGATGAGATGTCATCGTTACTTCCACAATAAAACAGTTTATCAGAGAAGGAAATATAGACGAATCCCATGTGACATTCACTGACCCACAACACATCATTACAAGTCTGATTTGTAATGATATGAGCCACTGAAATCCTTCCCCAGCCTTTTTTATGCCCTTAGGAGAATTGGGGTAGCATTTTGACTTGCACCCAGCGAGTCTTGACTAATACTACGTTCACCCCAAAGAGTTACAGCATGATGGTTCTCTGCTCTTGATGTTAGGTCCACTGTCATGTTCCCACAGTGCTGCATGATTTTGATGAAGAATAGCCTCTGGCTGAGAAAGCAACTTTTACCCTCTGATGCCTGGGAAGTCAGATATCCCAGGAGTCAAACATAGACTCATACAGTTCACTCTAAGATGGAACAACTCTGCAGAGTAACTCATGGCCTGAAACTGCCCTGATGGATGAGAGTCAGGTTTTGTCTGAAGCCACAGCTGTGTTCAACAACCTATACTCATTCTGTTCTTCATGCTTCTTTTGAGAATTTTCCTGATGAGTCTTCATTTGAGAAAACCTATGCACCCATACCCCTGTCTTGACCTGTGCTTTTAGGAAAGACAACCCAAGATAAGCAGTCATTATTTTTTTTTAAACTCAATTTTATTTTAATCAAAGAAACATGTTTATAGTTAAGAAGTAAGAAAGCAGAGGGCCTCTGAAAGGCTCTATCCTGCAGGGTATGGAGGCAGATGCTGAGACTCTCAGCCAAACTTTAGGCAGAGTTCAGGGATTCTTATGAAAGAAGTAGGAGATAGTAAGACCTGGAGAGGACAGGAGCGCCACAAGGACAGCAACATATCCAAAAAGTCTGGGCACAGAGGTCTTTTCTGAGACTGATACTCCAGCCAAAGACCACTCATGGAGATAACCTAAGACCCCTGCACAGATGTAGCCCATGGCAGTTCAGTGTCCAAGTGGGTTCATAGTAATGGGGACAGGGACTGTCTCTGACAGGAACTGATTGGCCTGCTCTTTGATCACCTTCCCCTGAGGGGTGAGCAGCCATACCAGGCCACAGAGGAAGACAATGCAGCCACTCCTGATGAAACCTGATAGACAAGGATCAGAGGGAAGGGGAGGAGGACCTCCCTTATCAATGGACTAGAGGAGGGGCTCAGGTGGGAAAGAGGGAGGAATGTTGGGATTGGGAGGGGAGGAGGGAGAGATCTAGAGGGGAGATACAAAGTGAATAAACTGTAATTAATAAAAATATTTTTAAAATAAATAAATAGTCAGATAACGGCAAAAAAAAAAAGTAAGAAAGCATGAAAGGTTTTTAGCTAATGAACATTGGGCCCCTCCCCCTTCCAAAGCCTTCTCCATACACTCTTGTAATTCTCTTAGCTTGTATCATATTGATTTGAGTAGCACATAATGTTATTCAGATTTTAAGCACTGTCTATTGGTACCCCACTATGGCAGAGAACCTCTTATTCATCCTTTGTTGTTATTTACCTTGACTCCCAACATTATGTTGTACCAGGACATTTAATTCAACACTTGATGCTTTTTATATTACTGTTACTATTATGACTTATAAGTAACTATAGAAGTTGAAGATCACCAAGAGTAAGGATTATGGGGTCAGAGATATTATAGCTCACTGGCTAAGAGCACAGGCTTCTCTTCCAGAGAACCCAGAACTGGTTCCCAGGACCCATGTGGCAGTTCACAACCATCTGTAACTCCAGTTCTGGGAGATCAGATGCCCTGTTCTGGGCTCTACAGCACTGCATTGTACGTGGTGCAAAATATCTATACATACAAAATAAAAATATCAAAATAAGAAGAAGCATTATACACTTTTACAAAGGAAAGCAATGACATCCATAAAGTTATATGGTTTATCCCAGCTTATAAAACAAAAACATGAAAAAACCCTTCAATTTACTCACTCCACCTCCTGTATATAACTATAATGTCAAACTTCATAGAAGAAAGGATCTAATCTTTCCTATTCACCATTGCAAATCCTGTCTATGATAGACACATGTAAAAGCTTAATGAAGAGCTTTAGAACGCATGTATAAGTTCTAATTCTTGTTGAACTAAACAATCCTCGGGTCACCATGATGCAGCTTTCTGCTTGTGCAGCCAGTTTGCCTAGAACCTCCTGTTAGTGGTGATAAAGGACACATAAACAACAGCGCAGCTTAGAGACCTTAAGTGACTTTCTTTTTATCTCCAATTAGGCGTTTATTCCTTCCATAGAGTAGAGCAAGTGTTCCAGAAGAGGTTTGAGTGAAGAAAACCAGAATAAAGATCTGAAAGGTGGCCCATCATCTCAAAGGTACTTTCTTTGAAAGGGAGGGACAAAAGAATAGAAAAATAAATAATTGGTTAGCGGCGAGTTGCTCCAGGTCTCCATAAGGATTAAGACAGAAAGGTATTCAGCAATTTGCCAATTGAAACTGGCCTGCTATCTTTCTCCTGATTTCTTGAAAGCTGCATTTCATTGTGGTAACATGGGATTTTGGCATGGATGACTCCATCTTGTGTTTTAGGTTGGGGGCTAGTTCAATGGCCCAGTCCCACACTAGGACTTCCTGTGTGTGGATTTTATGCCAGCTCTCAGATGTTGAACAGTGTCAGTTCCAATTTATTCACTGCGTCCTCACACCTCCTCTCAGAGCTTTGCCTCCTGCATCCCTGTGCTGCACAAACTCTCACCATTCCCTCAACTGGGGATTCCCCTCCCTGCTCTTGAGTGAGGATGACTTTTCCCGCAAGCCTTTTCATCTTCCTTCGAGTTATTTCCTGTTCTTGGCTTGCATCCTCCATTCTCTTCCTGCACTAGCTTTTCTTGTTCCCAGAGTGGCTGCATGTCTGAAAACATCTTTATCGTATATTATCACATTTGATTTATAATTTAAGTGAGATAAAGACTCCTCGTGTTAACATTATTTTTAATTCATAGCTTTCCAGGCTCCGTGGGGTAGAGCACTCTTCCGCTCCTGGGGGAAACAGAGCTAGTCTTCTCTGCGAATTGTAGATCACACGTCCATCTTCCTGCCATTCTCTAACTTGTCTTAAAATCTATTTATTCTTGCTTCATTTCCTATTCTTTTGGTCTTCTATGTTTCCCTTTAAAATACATATTTTTTATTTTTTATTATGTGTGTGTGTGTGCAGGGGGATGCGTGTACACATGAATGTCGTGCTCATAGAGGCCAGAGAGGGCACTGAGGCACTGAGTGCAGCCGCTGGAAACTGAACCAGGGTCTTCGGAAGAGAGCAGTAGATGTGCTCTTAATCGCTGAGTCATCTCTTCAGCCCACACCTTTTAAATTTTTAATCTTTAAATTAATTTACTCTGTATTATTTTAGTACGTTCAAAAATTATGGACTAGTCCACATTTGCATTTCATCTTTGCACAAGGGCCATGCAAATCTTTGTACCACTCCAGTTTTTCAGTGTGTACTGCTGAAGTGAGCACTTTACTAGGTTTTTAAGAAAGAGATCGTTTCCAATCAATATTTCAACATGGTGATCTATTTTTAAATAACATTTCCTCATTTCAAAATCAATTCATGTTTATTGAATAAAACACAAATAAGCAAAAGTAGGAAAATTAAAATGACCTCTAATAGCACTGCTGAGAGACAATAATTACTAATAGAGGCTGTATTTTTCCAGCATCTTTTCCTGAATGTCTCTCTCTCTCTCTTTCTCTCTCTCTCTCTCTCTCTCACACACACACAAAGAGTTGTTGCTATTGTTACCCACTGCCACCTTTACCCCTCAAAAGTATGCAGGGGTTGGGGGCTTGGTGATTGGTGATGGGAGATTCTTTGTTGAGCAGTACACTGGGGAGAGTAGTTCAAATATGTGGTGGATGCTGAGGAGAGGAGGTAATTCTACACATAATTTGCAAAAAGGGAGACAAATGTGCTTGGGACAGAAGGAAAAGCATGGGGGTTGAGAAGGCCAAATATGTCAGCTCTGTATGAAATGCAAGAGTAGGCTGGGATGGACCCCAGCTGGTAGCATGTATTTTTTTTTTTTTTTTTTTTTTGCATGCAGAAGGCAATAGGTTCAAACTCTGGTATCCTATAAACTCAGTGGCATGGGGTGGCCAACACGTGTAATCTCAACGCTCTGGGACCATATGAACTTGTACACATACACGCATACACACACAGAGAAATTGAAAGCAGGTCATCAGGTACAAGTATATCAAGTTTATAACCACAATGTCTACATTGACCAAGAAAGACTGATAGCCCAAATGTCCATCAAAAGGTGAGTGGATAAACATACCACAGATTGTGGTATATACTAAAATATTATTTATTAATCCAAAAGAAAGATAGAGTGATTCTATGAATATGCCTAAACCACTAAAGTAAGTGAAAGAAGCCAGCATGTGGCATAGTTTCTGTGAATTATCTAGAGCAGGTAAGTTTACTGAGCCAGAAAGCAAACAGGTGTCAGTTAGGCCCGGAGGAAGGGAAGAACAGGCAATGAGTGCTTAATGGATGTGAGTTTTCTTTCAAAGTGATGAAACTGTGTCCAGAATAGACTGAGGTATTCCTTTCACGAATTATAAATGTGCCAAACACTATCAGGTGACACACTTTAAAATAGTTAATTTTTTATTATGTGAATTTCTCCTTCAGTAGAGGAAAAAAAAAAAACCTAAACATTATCTTTAGTGGCCACACACTAAGTTTTTGAAAATGAATTCTTCATTTTTTGACATAGAGATTGTTTCTAAATTTTCCTTGTTATAAAAAGAACTATAGAAAATCACCTAACAACTTAATATTTGCACTTTATCTAGAATTTTTTTCAAGTAGTCTATTTAGATAATTTTTGTTCAGATTTCAAAAAACATTTTAAAAGAGTAGAATTCATCTACTCAAAGGAAATTATTTGTAACAATATGTTTTCACAACTGCTCAGAGTGGAGCCCTGGTTCCATGCAGGCCTCTCAAGTCTGCCCTATCCATGGCAACCAGAGCACGCCCATACCTTCATATAGCACCCACACGTGTGCCATCGTAAGTCCCGTGCCATCAGTAGGCTGACTTACACATCTAAGGAAGAAAGGAAAGATTAATTTTTAATTAACTAATCCTCCTCTCCCCATCATAATACAGTATGACCCATCAGAAAGAGGTAGGGGTGGGCTCCTCCTGTCCTATCTTGTCACTCAGCTGGGGCACTACAATAAAGTACTGGGTGGCTTAAACAGCAGTTATTTCTCACAGTTCTTGAGGTTAGAAAGCCACGGCCATTCAGCATGGTTGACATGCACTTTTTCTATGGCTTGTTGGTGGCGTCTGGCCACTGTGTCCTCAGTGTTCTTCCTGCATCTTAGAAGGGACTCCCTCCAGCCCTGGACCTAAGGCCCGCCTACATATCCTTATCTGACTTTAATCACCTCCTCAAAGGCTTTGTTCCCACAGTGAGTTATGTAGTACTGCAGTGAGAGCTTTAGCATAAGAATGTGAAGGTGGGAGGGGCACCATCCAGCCCAGGGCAGGGACCTAAATGGATGGAGTCTTCAGCTTCAGCTCTGGGTACTGTCTGGAGAGTGTCTCTTTTTCCAGCTGATATGAGCAAGGCTCTGCCCAATGTACTAAAAGACTTGACCCAGAAGTGACATGTGTCCTTCTTTATTCCCAACCCCAAGGATCCCTACAGATCATTCACACGGCCCACGAGTGAGGCTGCTGAGGTGTCATCCCTGGGCCCAGAAGGAGAGGTCAGATAGATGTCAACAAACACCTTTAATGTCTGTCCAGCAGCCCGTGGTAGTACGTCTGCCACCTCATAGGTTACCTCTCATCCCACAGCCCCTGCCCCATACCCGAGCTATGGACTCCTTCAGATCAAAGCCGTAATTCTCTCTCGGAGATCAGTATCACCTTCCATGTACTTAAATCTAAAGCGTCAGCCCCTGTATAATAGGGAAAACCCTACTACAATCCTTTTAACTTTGTGACCTTAATTGATGCCAATCTGTCTTCCTTTCCTTCCTTTAAGACTATTTTCATTTTTTTCCTGCCTTACTTCTCCCAGCGCCATTCAGAGAGACTTCTTCTTCCTCCCCATCTTCACACACCTGCCCATTCTCTATACTGCTGCAATAGGAAACCTCTGCTCTCAAAGCTGAAAAGTAGCAATGTGGCCACAGCATCTGAAACACTGCACTGCTTTCAGTCCATGGCCACCAGGGGTTGCAGGCATACTGGAGAGCTCAGAGCACACCCCCTCCCTGCACTCTCCACGGCTTCCATTTCACACAGAGAAAAGAGACAGTATCTTTCTAGGGTCATACATGGTAGAACACAATCTGCCATGCATATCCCCCACAGCCCTCACCCACTCCTCTTCCTATTGTCCACTCTGCTTTGGCCATGCTGGCCTTCTCCACATTCCTCAAGCTCTTCAAGCCTCACCACCACAGAGCCCTGCTGAATTCTCTGCCCTGGAATGCTCTGCCCAGCTGGCTTAGCTAGGTTTCTATTGCTATGATAAACACCATGACCAAAAGCAATCTGGGGAGGGAAGGGTCTGTTTTAACAGTAACACACCATCCCTGAAGTCAGAGCTAGAACCTGGAGGCCAGAACTGAAGCAGAAGCCATCGGAGGATGCTACTAACTGCCTTGTTGTTACAAGCTCCTCTCAGACCACCTGCCCAGGGGTAGCCCGCCCACAGGGAACTGGGGCCTCTCACAGCACTCGTTAATTAAGAAATGTCATCTGTACTTGCCTACGGGCCATCTGATGCTTACGTTTTCAGTTCAGGTTCTCAAATGACCCCAGCTTATGTCAAGTTGAGTAAAACTAACAGAGACACTGACGATCTGCGGGACCAGCTCCTGGGTTTCTTCCCAGCCTCTCCTCACCTCTCTCTTTGCTCACCATCCTCTCCTCCCCTTTACTGCATTGCCCTTGCAGTTCATGCCTCCCACAGGTACATGGTATTTATTTCTTTGTTCATTTATTGTGCTGGGGATTGAATCCAGGCCTTGTACATACCAGGCTAGCTCTCTACTTTTTTGATACAGGCTCCCTCGCTGGCCTGAAACTAGAAATTAGGGTTAGCTGGCTGCCCAGGAAGCTCAGGGATTTTCTTGTCTTTACCTCTGAGAACTGGGACTAACCCCATGTGCCACTATGCCCAGTTTCTTAGGTGGATGCTGGGCATCAAGCTCAGGTCCTCATGACTATATGGCAAGCACTTTAGCAACTGAGCTATTTCCCTAATTCCTTATTTATTTCTTTAAACATCACTTTGTAGCCATATATAGAGGTATACACCTTGGGAGGCAAAGGCAGGTAGATCTCTGAGTTCAAGGCCAGCTTGGTCTACACAATGAGTTCCGGGACAGCCAGAGCTACATAAGATACTTATTCTGTATCAAAACCAAACAACAACAACAACAACATCACTTTGTGTGTATATGAGGTGCACATGTTCACACATGAGAATGTGTATATGTGAGCCAGTGCACGGCACACATGTGGGTCAAAGGACAGGCTTGGCCTCAGTCATCGCCTTCTATCTGATTTGAGACAGGTTTTCTTGTTGCTCTCTGCTGCACACCAGGCTGCCTGGCCACAAGCCTGCTGGAATCCTGTCTCCCCTCCGCCTTCACTGCAGGAGTGCTGCGAGTGGACATGCGCCGCCACATCCAGCTTTAAGGTCCCCATGCTTGTGTGGCAAGTACCCACCAAACCATCTCCCCAGTCTCTTCGCCATTGGATTTTAACTATTATTTGTTCCTGCCTTCTCCTTTCATAAAAGTAGACAAATTTTGTATATTTTGTTTACTAAGACTGCATTCCCACAGTAGTTGTTTAGTGAATGCATGAAAATGCTGACCAAACACATTTCTTCCGGATTTATTACCTTGCGTATGACCGTAACTATCTATTGACTTACTGCTGCTTCTACCACAACGTGTGTTACTTTATTCCTATAACCTCCACAGACTGCCTGACAGTCATCTGCTTTCTATTTGTGGAATAGATAAAGCAAGACCAATTGTCCACTCTGCCAATGAGAACTCTAAGGTTACACATGCTGCTGCAAATATACACAGGAAGTACATGGGAAAGTCATAGGTAGGCTGTAGGTCTTCTGTGTCCCTCATGTCTCTGCTTGGTCCTTCCCAGCTCTGCAAGAGTTAGTTAAAAATCCATCTGGGTTTCCAAGTATGCTGCGCATTTCTTGAGACAAGGGCAAAGCAGTGAGCTGTTCTGAAGCTCCCATAGTGCCAGAGCCTGGCCACAGTATCCATCACACTTATTTAAGAGATGTTTGTGGTTAGAACGTTCAATAAAAAAAATAATTATTGTTGTTAGCATTGTTCCCACTTTTAATGACAGAAATGATAATAACCTCCCAGCAGTGGGCTTTAAATAGGTTCAAGACACGGAAACACAATTTTAACAGTGTCTTTCATCAGCTCACTCCCCG